GTTTACTCAGTTTCTCTCTCTCTCTCTCTTTCTCTCTTTCTCTCTCTCTCTCTCTGGCATACGCAATACGTGACCAATGCATCAGAGGCGGTGTAAAGCGATTACTTCTGTTAGAGAGCAACTATCCACGCCCAACACAACGACGAACCTCGTCATCACTCACTCGATGTTTCCACCAGACAAGCATTGCTTTGGAGACATCGGTGGTCGAATACTTAAAGTCGATTAGCATCCTCAAAGCGGAGGTCAGGTCTTGCGACCGTAGAGCAGAACACTACGAACCGCGGCAATTTACACCCCTTAAGGGACAGTCGGATGTCATGGCGGCTCCACGGGTGTCGCAGGTTGGCGAAAGCTGCTCTAGCTCTCGCTATTCGTGATCTGATCACCTCCCCAGTAACACCACCAGCTGCCTTCAAACTCCCGAGTTACTCAAAGCTCTCAACTACTTCCAGCTGATCACCACAGAGAGTGAGTGCTAGCACAGGCTCCTGCCAGTCTTGTAGAAGCACTTAGCACTTTGATGGTGCAGAGCACATACCATACCTGGATATCTCTATCTCCAAGCGGTTCAAAGCGTACTGCCTGCCTTTGTGTTATCACCCAGCAAGACGATGTCATCGGCGTATTCTAAGTCAAGGACTCCGTTCCCTGGGAGGAGATCGACCCCGCCGTTTGCTAGACTGGACTAAGCATTCTGTAGAAAATCTTTGACAAAGTTGAAGATGCTTATCAACTTTCTGTATTCGACCACTGATATCTCCGGGACATTACCCGTGTCTGGTGGGACCATCGGGTGAGCAATAACGAGGTTTGTTTTCGCGTTCTCTAACGGACTTCATCGCTCTACATCTCCGATGGCTTGGACATGTTTTGCATCTGCCTGCCCATTTTCTACCCTTCCATACTCTCTTAGCACGTGCTGCGCAAGACTGGAAGAAACGCCACGGCGGTTAGACCATTACATGGCAGAACAGTTTGAAGAAGCTGGCTTCAGATTGGTCTCCGATTGGCGCAACCTTCCAGGTAGGGGCCCAAGGGATGAGGATTGTCGTTAATTAGAGACGCCAAGAGATATGATGTAGAATAGAAGTCAGTTCATTTGCGACCATGCTCGCGGTTTCATTTGCGTTTTCTGGTGTTCCATTGTCTAATAGCGTATAACCGGCTATCGATTAGGATTTCGAGGACTATGAGTGCGAGCCCTTGTGATCTCTTAGGTCTTTACTTTGAACCCGAATTATTGCTTGACTCCTGATGGAGCCCTCATTCACACGAGACAGTGATCAAGTCGGGCACGCGAAATTACATAGTTACTGGTTGTAAAAAGTGAACTAAACTGATGTAACCCTCTTTTTCTTGATGATTAAAAATATTCTCAACTCCGTGTAGTAAACAGTATAAGCGATTGCCGTCAGTTATGCTGAATTACTTTTCTATAATAGAAATCGGCAACCTGAGACTACAGATTTAACGGTGATCAACATGAGTCCGAAATAAAATACGTATGACTTTGATTCAGTTGATAGCCACGCTGCCCACCAGCAAAACTCATTTCCCGGATTCACTTCTATAAACAACAACTGAGACGCGATCGCTGTTAGACTTTGATGTTGTTTGACTCAACACCACGCCGTTCCCTTCAACTCGTTATTCCTCAGCACTGTGCTTGTCTACTAGCGCATCCGCACACTACCTCTTCTTAACTTCCATTTTTCCAACAATTGATTTTATATAATTGATATGCTTCTGATGTGAAAAAGATGTAATCCTCTGAATCGTGTCAACGAACATGAATTTCTTAGGCCTCCTGGTTAATTTTCGCGGAACTGGTATATTGTATAGTACGACGCTCTTACATACAGTCTTATCCGGCATTTACTGATATCTGCATGTACGCAATTATCTCGGAATGGTTTTCTTCCATTTTTTTCTCGTATATGTTGTCATATATTCATCAACCTGACCGTCGAAGGCCAATGACGGACTGTGGCGCTGAATACAGGAATACCAATGGTGTAGATTAAGCTAAACACTTACTAAGCCTTATCGCATCGTTTTGCATTATTTTTATTTCTTGATCTGCTTACGAGATTATCATTTCATTCATTGTCATCATGTATACTCCATTTTCCCCCAGGTGAGCTTTTGGGGATTTCATCGATTTTTTATCGTTTATATTTAAGCAATCATATTCAGTTTCTTGCTGGTCAGCTAACCGCTCTTCAAACGATAAAAACCAAAATCGTGAAAACTTCGTTCCTTATGCTATGTTAATTTTTTCTTCGTTTCAGGCAAACACGAAAAAGCAAAAATATGAACGTATTTACGAGCGAAAAGTTGCTACCTCTCCGGAGCAGTTGTGCAAGGGTTACGCTTTTGAATTCGAGAAGTATCTGCACTACGCCCGAGCCTTGTCTTTCGAATGCACGCCAGATTATCAGTACCTAAGAGGAATGTTCCGTCGACTTTTCCAAAGCTTGGATTATTCTCTGGACTATCTATTCGATTGGACATTGTTGCGCACAAATACTTTGAACTCAGAGGCCGCAGTTGTGAGAAACCCCAATGAAGGCAATAATAACGCAAACAATAATACGACGAGTAACAACAACAATAATAATTCAAACGCTAATCCAAATGCTGCTGCTAACCGTAACCACACAGGTGGTGGTACCGAGCCGCAGCCCGATCAATCTAATGATGTTGATGCTCAGACACGTATGATTCTCCATAGCCTTGTCGGTCGTGGGCATCATTCTTCGTCCAATCAACCTCAGCCGCAACAGCAGCAACAACTGTTGCAACAACAGCTGAACAACAACAGTGGTGCAGTCCAGTCCTCAGCCATGCACTCGCAATTCGTCAACCCTTCTGGTAGCGGTGTAACGCATTCCGGTGTTTACAATGCCGCAGCTGGAACTAGCGGTGCATATGGCATGCGCTGTGTTATGCCTGACTTGCGACGTTGATGAGAACTATGTTCTTTTATCTTTTTGTCTGAATGTTTGTCTGTTTTGACTCATTTTCCCCGACCGCTTTTATCCATTTCTCTGCTTGTCCACCGTCGTATCTACTCCTATCGCTGCTGACGATTCGGTTTCTTTGTGATCTATGGACGGTTATACAGCCGAATCCTGAACTCCCCGAGTATATCACTTCCGTATGCTGCGCCTAGGATCTCTGTTTCTCCGGAGGCGCTTTCAGGTTCTGGTCTATGACATTGTTACTCTCGACCTAAGTTGCGCGTGTATGGGTTATCACAAGTGTGACTGATAGTACTACGTTTTCACAACCCAGTTCCTCCATCTTCCTTCGTTTCTACGTTCGATACGGGTATCTTATCCGACAGCAGTTTTAAGGTAGAGGTTTCGAACTCACCAAACAGACCCGTATTTTGTACGGAGGATGTACACCAACATACACGCACACCACTGTACTGTATTCATGCATTACTGTCGCGCAATTCTGAAGCACTTTACCACATCCAAACCCGTATATCAATCTACTCACTCTTGTTATTCTGTGGTTGAAAATCATTACCACTTATCAGTCCATCTATTCACTGTCACTCTTACCTGCATCTCTTTTTCATTCTCTACTCTCCGTCAAGGTAGCTCAGAACGGCTCTTGTGACTTCCAACCAATGTAAACGCACGCACACCCATGTGCCGTATTCACCCCCCGGGCCGTTGTCTTTTCCTTCCGTTGTACATATAGTTTCCGGTATGCTACATTCGTCTCTTTTTGTTTCTCTCCGCCAGTGGTTGCTGTTTCAAGCTTGATGGTGTGGGGTCGTTTAACTTGTCAAGGACTTCTTGATTTTGCCTTCTTTTATGATAGATTCGAAATAAGTAGATGTAAGCAATTGTAACTGCTCTGTCAGAGGAAGAAAACTGAACACTGCTTTGTGGTCCAATCATGAAACTAAACGTTCCAGCTGTGAATTCGTTCCCTAGAAAAATTGTCCGGCAATCTGACCGTGTTATTTTACTGTTGTCCATTGATCTTAGTTAACTCATAGATGTGATTTCCGTTGTCTCGGGCAACACTGTTAGAGACTCGAAATATTTGTTCTCCCCAGCGCACAACTGTATGCGCACTGGCCTGTCTTCAGGTGACGGATAATGAGTCAGTCGTCAGTTTAATGGTTGATCAAGAATAAGTTGTATCTTGCTAAGCAGTTGGTAGCGGACGATCATTGCTCAAGGGAGCGGCAGTTTTCGTGTGATAAACGTCTTCCACTGAAGAGTGTCGCACATGTCTATAAACCGCACTGTCGGTTGCGACTCGCCCCTAAATAAGGCCACTACTCAAGTTGCATTTCATCCACTCCGCACGGTAGTCCGGAAGAGTCAAGTGAACTGCACCTGGGCCCACCGGCTTGTCCGGAATGGTCCTGTTTCATTGCAGGCTTCACTTAAGTGTGCGAAGTTATCAGGTGCAGTTTCAAGCAAAACGACCGGACAAGGTGCCGGGAGCTTACCTTCTACTTCGAACTGGACGAATGAGTAGTAAAACGTACTCGAAGTAGTAGAGGAAGTAGACTAGTTTTGCTATATCTCACCTGTCTGACGCGTCATAACAGACTCGATTGGCGCTTACCAACTTGAGACGTGTGGCCCCGCCGCGACATCCGGCTGTCTGTCATGGTCACCGATAGAGACAGCGAGATAGCTGGGTGTCGCAAACGGTGGCGCTCATGCAGCTACTCATTATCCTTGCAACCTCAGTGTATCTTCCACTTGAATTTACTCTCAACATTCCAGTCATCAATCTGCTCTTCTATCCAAATGGGCGGCAAAAGACAGCAAACAAAACCGGCGCACAAAAGTGCTGGGTTAAGGGTTGTAAAAACTGAAACTGAACTTGAAAAAGGAATTGCTTTGTACTCTTTTCAAGTGAAGTATCATGGATATTACCAAGATCAGATGCTCGTACTATGCAAAAACGTTTCCATGAAACAACGCACCTCGTGTCAGTCTGGGTAATAACTGAGAGGCTGGCTTCTTTCATCACCGAGAAGCAGCGCGATTGCCCGCCGGAATCCAAGGACGTTGTTAGATATGGGTAATCAAAGCATAACAGTGCAGAAGCTACACAGCGACCACATTGGTATCGATTTCCTGTCGGAAGTTCTCTTGCCCGAATCGTTAAGGTCATCTAAATCGATGCAGCTTACAGGCCCTATCATGGTTTCCCTTCTGACGATTCCAGTTCACAGAATGTGACAGTAAAGCGGAAGAGTTCTTGAACAGTAATGAGCAAACGATCAGTTTCAATCTATACAACCAGTACCCGTGCACCGTAGTGCCTCGGTTTTGGTTGCGATCTTTTGACTGTCCATTTGGACGAAGAAGTAGGAGGAAGAGCTAGAAAGCTATTGGCAGTATCAAGGTAATAGAGATTCGAATAGTCCAGGGTTGCGAAGAAATTGAGTAGCTACACCAGTGCCACTGTTTACTACACAGGTGGTGTTGGCGCAGTGGTTTAGTCGCTACCACAGGCGTGTTTTGGACCATATGGTCTGAGGTTCGAGCCCCGCCACCGCCGCCCAACTTTGGTGGTAGGCAGCTTTGCTACCGTCCGGTTTAATACCACGCCTAACATATCAGGGCCTTATGTGGTTCACCACTCCAAGTCCCGGGGTTTAGGTTACAGGTTTCCATCACTGAACAACAGATCGTCGTGACTATGGGGCTTACCCCGTCTGCTGTTCAGCACACGGAAGTGTAATAAAAAAAGGTAATGGTGACTTCGATAAACTATTTCGCCTTAACCACAACTCCCCCAACAGATGCTGTAAACCGGACTGGCTTCTACTGGACGTAGTTGACCATCCTATAGCAGAACAAATAAGCAGGGAACGTTAGCTTGAGCACTTCGATAGACTGTCCAACCAACCTTCGCACCACCCGACCTCCGTACCAGCATTAGCTTCTCCAGAACTGTACGAAGTCAACTGTCGAGTGTAAATGAAATTCCTATCGTTATCGATCATCTGAAAAATCGGAAACTGGTAGAAGATAGTACCTCTCCTGGAGTCTTGATGACTTGTCCACCTTCAAAAATTGATAAGTTTCGCTCATCTTTGTTTAAAAAGAAACATTCTCGAGCAATCAGGGATACGTTCATTTTATTTTACATCCCCAAGAAAGGTGATAAACTAGTGGGTCAGCACTATCGAGGTATTTGCCTAATCTTTGTTACTGGTGAGATTTCTGTACTGCTACTCAATCACTTTTATGCTGCAAGGGATCGACACGTGTCCGAATCAAGGGTGTTTCCACTGTGGCAGAGACTGTGTGGACCAAATATTTACCCTCCTTTGAATACCGGAGCCCCGACACACCATCGACTTTAGCCAGCTTCATCGAATTTCAAATCACTCATCGAATGAGTGCCTTCGTTCAGATACCTAGGCTCTAATTTATCTGGAAGGGCCAAACGAAGGTGATGTTGCGGATTGACAATGCAAGGAGAGCTCTGTCCCACTGTTGCGACAAGGTATGCAACGCTACAACGGCGCTGAAAGCTGCTCGCCCTCCGAAGCCGCTGGTTGCAATTATTCCGCCATATCCTTCGGCGATTCGACACGGGGCTTATAAAGCAAACAGTCGTGATTGGCGGTTTTGTCTTATGGAGTGGCTCAAAATGTGAGTCAACGTCATCTAGAAAGACGTGGAGCTTTTGGGCCATCAGTCGGTCCACGGTGCCCAAAAATGCAAAATAAAGCGCAACACGATCTGCGCTGAGCTGACCTCGAGCCGCACCTGGGCAGCAGCTATACACAGCAAGTATCCAGCAGTTATCTGTGGTTCCGGTTTGTCTTCCAGCAGGCAATGACCGCTCCGCCTCGCGTCCGAAAGGAAACGTTTCAGCTGAATACAAAGATATCCCAATGTAGTAATTTGTCAGTTAGGGTCGACTTCCATCAGACTTTCAACATTCGCCTACCGAAGATCAAAACCAGACAGACATTGTGCAATTGAAGGAATCCGTAGTTCTTTGCTGGAGCAGCATAGTGGGCATTATTGTCATCATCATCAATTGCGCATACAAACTATTCCAAGCATTTTGGTCTGATAAGAAGTGAAAATAATAACGCCACTATTGTCGGTTTGCTGCCATGGCTTTCAGTGTCTCCAAACATACAATTAGGTCATGGAACTCTACGACCGTTAATCGGAGTCCTGTTTGTTGTTCACGGGTATTTTTTTATCCTGAAGGGCGTCAGACGAAGTGTGGCGGAGGCTATTCCTTTGTTGGCGATTGGGACCAAACTTATCGCGCGGTAGTTTGCGCAGTCGTTGAGAGATCTCTTCTTTAAAATCGGAACGATCATTGATCTACTCCAAAATGAGGGAATGCGCTCTTACAGTCAGATGTTGCGCAATACATCAGCAATTAAATCTACGGGGTTATCGCCCTCCATCTTGAAATGAGTGGGAGGAAGTCCGTCCAGTCCTGCTGACTTTTCTCACTTCAGAGCTTGAATACAAAATCAAACTTCTGTTTCTTCCACAAGATCGCCCGACACCGCCCACGGAACTTCAGTTGCAGGGGCAGTAATCTGGCTAACGCCAGGCCAGCTGAAGTGTTCTCTGAATTAGTCCACCCAGCGATCAAGTCGTTGTTCCGTATTGTGAATAATCTGCCCACCTTTGTCGCAGATTGTTTCGTTAACTGGGATTTGCCTCCGATATTGCTTATCATTTGAAACAGTATTTGACCATTCCCCGATGCAGGGATTACTTTCGTCGCCCACCAGTTTTCACGGTCCTTCTTGGGGCTCTTTGAAAGCCGATGTTGAAGACGCAGCCCACCCTTATCTTGACCCTGGCCAATCAGGATTTATCACTTTATCTCCATCGGAGCTGCTGACTCATCAGGTATCCAATACCTCAGACGGACTTCAAGTTTAGATCCATAAGCGAAGTTCGCTGCGGAATGCATTGCTTGTCTAACTTGA